GGGCCCGCCCGTGCTGCCGGAAGCTGAGCGCCGAGGCCGCGCGGGGGGGTTCACCGAGGCCTCGACACCCGCTGCTCGGAGCAGGACACCCACAGCTGAGACTGTGTGTATCGGCAAGGATGGAGATGGCACTACCTCTCTGGGCAGCCTGTTCCCCCGCTTCACTGCCTTCCTCCTGGGAGCGTTTTCCCTCATTTCACCTAAACGTCCCTTGCTGCAGTTTGAGACTATTGCTCCCTCATGTCACCGTTGAGGGGCCCCTGTCGGGCGGGCAGATACAGCCCATGCACTACTGTCCGGCTCGCAGCAGGTGCCGCCCAGCCCAGGTGCCATCCCGCCCGTGGGGCAGCAGGCCTGGCGTGGCTGCGTGCCCGTGCTCCCATTTCATGGCAGCCCCAGCAGCGGGGCACCTTCCAGCTGCTGCACCACAGGCCTGGGCCCCGTGGAGACTGGCATGGGCCCCCACAGGCAGGGCCTGAGCTCTGGGCTCAGCACCTGGCCCTGGCCCTGGGAGGGGGGTTGGGATCCCCACAGCACCTGCTTCAGACCCACCTGCCCCAGTTATGATGAACAGCCGTGGCAGCCAGGCAGAAGCTGTTGTACCTGGTGTTAGGAAAAAGTGGGACCTGATGGCGGGTATGGCCGCCTCACTGCAGACAGCCAGACCCCACACAGGAGCTGTCCTGTGGCTCCTCCCCATTGCTGTTGCCCCAGTCCCCTGCACCTGGTGGGGTAGCAGGGTGGAGCCAGGTTCTGGGTGGCTGCAGTGAGGGGGAGGTTGCTGCTCCTGCCACCAGGTCCCACTTTTTTCTGGTGCCCAGCAGCAGCTTTTGCCCATCTGCTGGTCATTGTGGCTGGGGCAGGCGGGTCCAGAGCAGGTACTACAGGACCCGGGACCCTCTATGCAATGTGGGCTGCAGTCATGCACTCAGCCCAGGGCCAGACAGAAGCTGCTGCTGGCTACCTGAAAAAAGCAAGGCCTGGCAGCAGGCATGGCAATACATCTGTTGGCTCATGATACAGTTCTGTGGGCCATGTCTTTAGCACCCCTGTTCCCAAGGAATGATGGAGACAGGGGAATGTATAGGAAATGTGATCCTCAAGACAGAGACATTTTTGTTCTCAGCCACAGAGGAGCTTGGGAACAGGTTTGTTCCAAACCAGCAAGCAAATCAGTTATGCAGTCCTTTGCCTCTGGTCAAAGTGAAACAGTTATTAACTTGTGCTCTGTACTGAGTGCAAAGGTTGCGCTTACCATTAAGAGGGGAAAGGTTTGAAATCCAGGCAATAGAACAGCTGACACTGCAAGCAGAGTCTAGATCTAGCCTGGCCCTTAGAGCAACAAAACTGATTGGAGGCCTGGGGAGTATGACTTAAAAGGAGAGGCTGAGTGAGCTAGGGCTATTTAGCCTGGAGAGGAGACAACTGAGAGGAAATGTGATAGCAGCTTAATAACACACAGAAGGTAGGTTAAAGAGAAGACAGAGATGGGTTTTTCTCTGGCCCTAGGGGACAGGACTAGGGGACTAGGAGCAGTGGCCTTGCTGTAACAGAAGAAATTTGGGTTGGAGATTAGAAGGAACTTTCTGACCATGAGCATGGTCAAGCATTGGAACAGACAGCCTAGAGAGGTGGAATCTCCATCCCTGGAAACTTTCAACAGCAGTTTGGACAGACACCTGGCTAGGATGGCTTAATTGGAGATGATCCTGGCTTGAGCATGGGGTGAAACTAGATGAGGGTGTGAGATCCCTTCCACCCCTGCTTTTCTCCAGTCCTCTGTCAGTAGCGTTTACTTGCTTTCAGTTTTAATTGGTATATTCACATAAATACGACTACTTCCCTGACATGAGGAAAGGCCAGCAGGATTGAAATCCAACTTTTTAATTTCTGCATTTCTTGCCATGGCTCACTTACTTAAAATAAGTAGAGAGATGGGCATGTGAGAATTCAATATTTGTATATATTTAATTAATTGTTTATTTTTAAAGCTTATCAAAAAGTTCATATTTGTTTAAAAAAACAACACTGCAATCGCTTCATGTCATTGCAGTGACTGGGGGTTGCAGGAATAAATCCAGCTGGGAGTATTTAGTCTTAAATGAGGGGGAGAGCACAGCTTGCAACAAAGCCATTTTAGGCGTTGCATTGTCATGACCTCATTTATTTTACTGTCACTTAAACATATGATTCAAGCAGCTTGTACCTGCTGTTTTGGGTTTTATATACTTGTTAAATGCACAATTACAATGCAAAACAGAGAGTTTACAGATTAAAATATTAAAATGATCTTATTTTTCCCAGGATAGATTTTTCTGTTTTCCCCCTCTTCTATATAATTTTAGTTTGTCTAGCTCTTATTTCTTCCATGTGTGTAGTGTGCCTACAATACTGTCTCTAGGCACAGAGAGGTAGCTGTGTTAGTCTTAAGTCAGGAAGGTCTGTGTTGCTCCTTACAGACTAATTATGAGATGCACGAGCTTTCTTAAGCCACATGTATTTTTTTCCCAATAAATCTTTCTCTCCCTTCATGAAGTTTTACAGGTCTGTCGTTAGCTACCAAATTTCTATGGACCTTTAAACCCTCCCTCTTCAACCTATCCTCCCTACAAAGTGCTTGAGTAAATAGGTTGGATTTTACACCATGTTTTGAAATGAAACCTTCTTGCTGCCATCAGTGCTTGAGGAGTTAGGGCATGCCAGACTGAGTGCCTTAGCTGACTTTAGCTTTGGGTCTGGATCCTGAACAAGGGAGTGTTTGCTAAAACTTTTTGCTTTGTATGTTGTTTTAGAATGTTAATTCTGAGTAATGTGTTTGTGCATCTATAATTGGAAAGGATTTGGCAGTATGAAGCCTGTTATTGTGGTGCATGGTGGAGCTGGCCGCATCTTTAAAGAACGAGAAGATGGAAGTCGTTCTGGTGTTATCAGAGCAGCACTCAAAGGCTACAGTATCCTTAAACAAGGAGGCAGTGCCTTAGATGCAGTTGAACAAGCAGTAGCATTAATGGAAGATGATCCACATTTTAATGCAGGTAATTTTTCACCGCATGACTGTTATCACAGTATGTAATTTGTTTATATTCTAGGTCACATATTTTGCCTTGTCTATTCATGGCATACACTTTTTCAGTGTGATGCAGTAGGGACATGCAGACTGCACTGGGTTGAAGGGATGGATTTTGGCATCATAATACGCTTTATTTCTTACACAAGAGAAAAGCCTGGTATGTACTGTAGTCACATGTATATTCACATAGCGAAAAGAGTTTGTTTTTTCCCTTCTGACTTAATCTTGTTTCTTTCTTTTTAATTTACATCATTGTTCCAGTATTGCAGCAGTGGTATTCTGCAGATGTTCCTCCTTTCTTGCACTGTACACTTAATAAGACACCTATGCCTTGAGGAATTAATTATACATTCATGCACAAGCTTTATATTCCCATTTAATTCATCTGAATATAATTATGGGTGCAGTTTGGGCCTTAGTCTTTTAATGGTGCTTGGCATGTATCTAGTGTTTGAGCAGTTTTTTTTCTCCCCAGACTATTGATGCTGCCCTATGCAGTGGATTGGGGGGGGGGAACCTGCAGCACTGATGCTATAAGTGGCACAGGCAGCCTTTGTGTGTGGCACATGGTAGATAGAGCAGGGAACAGAAATCAGAGCATCAGACTGGGGAGGGAGTAGACCAGGTAAGGGAAAGAATCAGAGTGGCACTCAGGGAGGGTATGGGGCTAATTTGTAGCGCTCCTGCCAAAAAAAAGTTGGCCTCCTCTGTAGTAGGCGATTCATGAGTTCTTCAAATGCAGTGATTGCTAAGAACCTCTCTCTTTCAATGGTACTTTCTGATATTTTTTCCCCCTTACTACCAAGCCCATTTAACCCATCTTATTCAGACTGAGTGAAATTAGCATTTCTTTTTTCAAAGTATGTTTAGGGCACTTGGGGCGGGCAGTGGCTCTGGGAGCAGGGCTGGGGGGGAGAGCTAAGGCAAATTTTGGAGTGGCTGCAGCCCTGCCCTGCGAAGCCCCCTCCCAGTGCCACCGTTGCCCACCCTGAGCCCCCAAAATCTCTGTCGGTGCACCCCTAGTTAAAATGGTATTGACTTGTGACTGACTTGGCTGGAACTTCTAGAGACTCGTCTTTCCCATGATTCTGGTTCCATTTTGCTAAATGAGCAGGTGTGTCAACATTGCATTTGCATTGGGGCTGTTATTTAACTAGCCCTGGATTTGTATTCCTTATTTTAATTTGTACTCTTCTTGCCTTTCCACACGAGCAGTTTCTGTGTCTTCCCAGCCTTCAGAGATTTCTTTTGCTTGTATTACATAGTAGCTGAACTTTGATTTGGGCACATTGTTAATGCTTCTCAGATCTCTGTATGCTCTTAAGTGTCCAGTTGCTTACATGTAGGCAGTTCTAGTATAACTTCTTAAGTTTGAGCTTAAGAGTGTGAGATGAGGAGTGGCTTCTTGAGGCATTTTTGTGTACAACGTTACAAATCAAAAGCAGAGTTGCAGAACAGAAAGTTGTTCAGACGTGTAATCTTTGTGCAGACAAAGGAGTCTTTTGGAAGCTGGGTTCCTTCTGTGACTGATCTTTACTCATGGGCATACAAATATAGGTACTGCTTTAATAATGCATGTAGGTACTACTTTATGAGGCATTTCTTTTTTGTGGGGGGTGCAGACTTAATGACTTGGCTGATTTCACTGGTCAGAAGAACATAACTTGAAATGGTCTTCTGTGCTGACCACAAGATTTCCATATCCCTTTATTTTGTGATTTTTCTGAGAACCTTGTTCTAGAGTTCAACTGGAATGGAGAAAAACTAAATTGAAAATAGTAGAACAGTATTTTTGTCAGGAAAAAATATTCATCCACCTTTTCCTCTGGGGATATTTTTATAACCTTTGCCTTCATTTCAGTTTTGTAAACATCAGTTTCATACAGTCAGTAACAAGCACTTCCAAGTTGCTTAATTTTCTTCAGAACAGGAAAACTCAGGAGATTTGGACTTATTTTGTAGATTGCAGTGCTGGAGCATATAGCCCATGATCTTTGTGGTAGAGCAATTTAAGACTATATTGTGGTATTAGCTAACTCTGACATGCAGTAAAACTATGGAGGGGGGTGGGCAATTATTTGTGTGCAGACCGGGCGCGAGCCAGGCCCTTTTTTGTGCTCTGCGCAGGCTGTGGCCAGCAGCCTAGGCACGCGGGGGCGGGGAGAACGCGCGACACGCTAGAATTAGGCACGGACTCGTAATGGTAGATTTAAAGATTGTTTACTTACACCGAAGATGGTTGCGGTGCAGGCTGGAAAACTTGTTTTGTCTGTAACCACAACTCAAGCAACATGAACGACCACGTGGAGTTTGCTAGGCTTCACGGAAACAGAGCTCCGGATGCCCTGGACAAGCGCGCCACCGAAATAGAAACTTCGTAGATACATCTTATAAAATTATCGCTCGAAGACAGAAAGAGGTGGGCGATGGATCAGGTCACCAAACTCCTCTGAATCTCACACAGGGTTTCTATTACCCTGCCGTGTACCCAGAGTCCCCACGAGATGGATGTGGAGTCCTCTTCGGCTTGGGCGGAAACCGCTCAAGCCTCTTACACGGCTAGCAGGCCAATCATTAGCCGCCACATGGGAATAATTTAGAACTAGCCAGTAGTGGGACACAAATCTGCATGCGGGTGGTGGGAACTCCTTTGCACCGTGCATTTCTCTTGTAACTTGAGCAATGCACCCTGCAAAGGAAGCTACAAATTGGCGGGAAATTCTCCCTTGCACCGGGGTTCTCCTCTGCAGCAGAAAACTCCACCGTGCAACGAAGCTGTAATTTAGAGGGAATAATTCTAGTGCCGAAGCACACACAAAATCATACCTTTGGGTTATGACAATTTGGACTGGAGGTACACTTAATGAGTTTTGGGGACCTGTTAATGGCTGCAGCCATCTCTCTCTCCTCTTGCTTTTACTCTTTTCTCTCTCTCAGTCTCTGTCCTCTTGCTCTCACTCTCTGTCTCTCCTCCTAGACTCCAACTAAAGCTGTAGTTCAACAGAAGCCCCAACACTCAGTGGTGGATCCAGGCAGGAGCTTCTGCTGCATTGAGCAAGTGGCAGCATCAGGTGTGGATGCAGCTAGCAGGTGCCAGAGCCCCGACATGGAACCTGCTGGCAGTGTCACAGCTGATGCTGATGCATACTCAGTGCTGCAGAAGCTTCTGCCTGGGTGCACAGCTGAGCATTGGGGCTTCTGGCAAACTACAGCTTCAGCTGGGTTCTGGAGGGAAGGATGGAGACGCTCCTGCCTACCCGGTGCAGGAGACGCTCCTGCCTGGGTTCACGGCTGATGCTGCTGGCAGGTTTCAGGTTGGGGCTCCAGGCAGGAGCTTCCAATGCATTAGGAGGCCGGTGGTGTCAGCTCTGGGTGCTGCCAGCAGGTTCTTTGTCCAGGCTCTTGAACCTGTCGGTGGCATCCATAGCTGATGATGCTACCCACCCACTGCAGTGGAAGTCCCATCCAGGTCCACAGCTGATGCCACCACATCAAAAGCTGATGCAGGGCAGAAGCATTCCTCCCTGCCTGCCACCACACAGCAGCCAGAGGCACTGGCCAGCTGCACCCAGGCCAGATCCAGTGAGTTGGCAACTGTCTATCCACAGGCTGGATTGAACCTGTTGGTGGGCTGGATCCAGCTTGTGGGTCATATTTTGCCCACCCCTGCTATAGCACATGGTTAGGAATCTATTGGTAATGGATTTTTTTCTGGAACATCAGTATACCTGTTAGCTTCAGTGGACTGAACTCTGTCTTACACCATTGTTACTGTAACAATAAACTGTTGCTTCTTTTGAGTTAATGACTACAGCAGCTGTTCCTTCAAATTTACCAAACCATTGGAAATGGCTACTAGGACTTCAGCTTATCCTGTGCCAAAAAGATTGTCATTATCAATTTTGATATTTAACTAACAAACAAAGTACAGGGCATGCATATAATTTCCCTTTTCATGGTTTGAATCTAGAGATCATCTTTCTTCTGCTCTAAATGAATAAATTGGAATATTTTAGTCATGAATCTTTTGTTCAAGAATGTTCACTCTAATTTGCTTTAATTAGAATTTGGTGCCCTGTTTTATAATTTACTTCATAAAGAAATGACTGACTTTTAACAAGATTGTAGGTTGTAGGCCTGAGGCCTAGCTGAAATAGCTATGCAGCCTAATTTTGACTGTCCTGCTGAACATGGCAGATTTTGTAATCACTTACATATACATTCACACATGTTTTAATACTCATTAAACACAACTGTTCTCAGTGAGCAGGAGAAACTGAGCTGAAACCCATGTTAAGAGGTGCCTGATGGCAATGACTGTTTTAAAACCCACCATCCCCATAAAAGAAAAAACAGTTTTATTGTAAGGTTGGATGGAAAAACATGAGAATTACTAGCAGGCAGAGAAGAGGGATGGGGAAGACATGTTGGGGGAATACCAAGTAGATTTCAGATAACATGTTTCAGTTGTGCTTTATAGATCAGTGTTAGGTAAGTAAAAGTCTCCCTGTTCTTGCAGGAGCTCAGGAGGTGTAGTGAATTCCAGAGACATCAACTCTGAAAGAAGAGTCAGAAAAATTAGCTATATTTGTTGGCTGAGATAAGGAGAGGCTGCCACCTCTGTGTCAGTTAGCATTGTTATCCAGCCTAGCCTTCATGCTTGGTGACTACAAGGATCACAACCCTGGTGCAACCAGGATTTACTCTTCCTGTCTTTGCAACCCATGCAGAGCTCAAACACAGCATAGTCCATAAATAGCAGGGAGGACCCATCCAAAAATGGATGAGTCCTTCCCATCCAAAAATGGTCTTACACCTTTCAAACCAATTACATGGTGCCCCTTAGATTTTTTTCCTTGTCTTTTACTATCTTTCCTACACTTACCTTACAGCTGAGCCAAAAACAGCTATACTTTTTCTGCGCTGCTTCAAATAAATGTAGTGGTATTTTTGATAACCTGTATTCAAGAAAAATGGATTCAAACTGGAGCAGGTGCAGATAATGTCTGCTAGGATCAGAGAAGTGGAGATCTTAATATCAAGTCTAGATGGTAAACTGATTGTGCCTGGCAGCAGCCCCTCAAGCCTACTGTGCTGCTCAAGGAAGGTTGCCTTCTAAACTGGAAGCAGTGCAACTGGGTCTGCATGGTGTTGTTGCTGGGCTAACTGGTCTTGTCAGACCACCATGCTAATTAGCCCACCTGCAGTCTGTCCAGATGCTGCTGCACTTTCTGAAACAGGGTAGCAAGCTTGAGGGCACTGCTGCCAGGCACGATAGGTTTATCACATATTTATGGCCTCAGAGATCTTGGTTTTGTTAAGCTAGCAAAAAAGACCAAGAGAGTAAGATATTGATGTATTGAAGAGGTAAAGAGGATACTAGGTAGGGAAAAGAGCTGTTCTCAAACAAATAGTGTTTGCACAAGAATAAACAGATATAAACTGGCCATGATTATAAATTTAAGATGGAAATTTCTAACAGAGGAGTGAAGTTTTGGACCAGCCTTTCAAGAAGGATGAAGAGCATAGGTACAACCTGACTAGCTTCAATATAGAGATTAGTAATTGCTTGCCAGCAATTGCAGAGGAGACAATTTGATAATCCAGAGGCCATTGCAGTCCTGTGCTGTTAAGTGACTTTTGCAGATGCTCAAGGCTTTGTAAATTGGGACACTTTGCCTTAGATGCCTAAATGTTAATTTAAGAGCCTGTATTTAGGTACTTGTATCTATTACTTTGGCTTCAGTGGGATAACAAATGCCAGTTTCCACCCTCCTTTAAATATTAGTTTTAAAATAACTTCTCTTCCACAATTTTAGCAAAGCTAAAGTGAAAACCAGATAACTTAGCTTGCTTCTACTGGGGTTTGATTCTTTTTTTTTTTTTTTTCTTAAAGATGAGTTGCATATTTTGTTTCTTCACTGTTCCCAAGGCTTTTGTATTGCTTTAGATGGTGATCAGTTATACCTTATCTATCACTCACAATGCAATATCCAAGCTATTAGGAGCTATTTTTATTATTATTGCCTTGTATTTCACATGATGCAATCTCATCATTAGTTCAAGGAAGGCTTTGCCATAGAGTTTACACTGATAGTTACAAAACATGTTCATTTAACTGCTGCGATGCTCACAGGAGGTCATTGTTTGCTTTTCAAGTCTGTATGTCTCTTTCTGACTGACTATTTCACAGAACTTCAGGCTTATGACTACATTATAGAATAGAAAATGGATTTATATATTGCTGACTTTCTACCTGTGTTGGGTTTGGTGCCATGGCACAATAGATTTTAAAATCTTACATGAGCTAATCTGAGATGGCAAAACTAAACTCATAATTCATCATTTCGTGAGTTTAGTCTGTAATTTGGTGGATTTTGCAGCATTTTACAAGCGGAGAAAATGTGGAGATAAAGGGTGACACTGAATAAAAACAGTCTTATCACTCCCCTTCATACCTTTGGTTGCCTATACATGTGCTCCTTCGCATTCTAATTAGAATGCATTGGATTAGACTTGTTTTAAAATGGATGTGGGGCACTTTAAGTAAACCTCATTGAATAAGGTTTAGATAAAGCGTCCTGTGACCATTTTTGAATGTGTGAGGGCTTAATACACATGCTGCTGCTGCGGCGTTTTAATTAGAACAGCTGGCTGGGAGCCACTCTGATTAAAACATCACCCCTCCTTTCCCTGCCTCTGATGAGCATGTTCATAGGTACCTTCATGCCTACACTAGTTAAATATTGGATCATAATAACTGAGTTTGCTGGGAAATGTTAAGGCAATCACATGATTGGGGTTTAAGGAACACTGTGCAACCTGCCATGCACATCTTGCATAGCAAGTCACATTATTTTGGGGATGGGGCATAAAGTTCCTCAAACCCCAGTTGCATGATTGCCAACTGCCATCACATGGAGGCCCTGTTATCAGGATCCATGTGTTGCCCTTTAGCATGCACACAAGCTATTAATTTGGTTTGAAGCAGTATGTGGAGATAGGGAGTAGCTTCCCTGGATGCCCTGGGAACTTAAAGAAAGTGTTCAGCTGAGGCTCCCAGTTGCATGTCCTCTTTTAAAGGTCCAGGGTGCAGTGAGCCTGAGATCTTCCTGATGTCAGGCTCTCTGTACCCCATCATCTGCTGGCACCCCCCCCCCGGCCCCGTCTGCCTCTGGGAACTGAGCAGGGGTGCTAGGTCCAGGACCTGAAGCTGCCCCCAGCACAGTCCTGCTTGGGCAAGGGGTGGCTGTATCCCAGATCCTGGGGCTACCCCATGCTGGATCTGTCTATCATGTCTATTCCCTAAAATGGATCTGTCTATTCCCTAAAAATGCCACACATTCAATTTAAAGTGTGATAAGAATGAGCCACAAATATGTTATATCTTATATGTGAGACTTCTTTGTGGCCTTTGGCTATATTATCATACCCTAAATTGGCTTTAACTTGTGGCAGGGTTACTGTTTATTGTACAGTTAACATCTTAGTCATATTCTAAATATGATGCGTGTCAGGGCTGTAGTGTTCCATATGTTATCCTAATACAACTGTGTTAATGACTTCTGTTTGAGCAGGAGCATTTTTCTCTCTTCCATATTTTTTCTTTTCTAGAAGCAAGAAACTGTATTTCCAGCTGCAAGTGTATACAGTTTCATGCACAACTCCTATTTTGGATCTTTTATTTGGTTACATGTTTACAACCAGTAGGCGTTTTATAGATGTGCTCTGGGAGGCGGGGGTGGGAGGGGGTATTTTAATTAGTGCAGCTCCAAGAGCCATCCTAATTAAAGCACCCAGAGTATCACGTGTGTCAGTGTCCCCGTACTGACAAATGGTGGCGGGGCACTTTGAACTAAAGCTCTTCAAATGAGCTTTAGTTTAATGGGCCCTGCTGCTATTTTTCAGCATGGGGACGCTGATGCACGTGACACTGGTAATTACCATGCTCCATCCAGTAGGCTCAACTAATCAAGTCTGCTCCAATGCTCTGTAATTACAGCACATCAGAGCAGCCTCCCTGCACATGTCTAGGAGCCCAATATTCTTGCCAATTTTTGGTATTCAGGATGTTGTAAGTTAAAGCAAAACAAAATACAAACCTGAAAATAAGTTTGCCTAATAAAATCTACTAAAACTGAATCACCATGTTTCATTTTACATCTTTTTTTCCCCTTTCCTTTTGGTTTATAGGCTGTGGATCTGTTTTAAATCAAAAGGGTGAAGTAGAAATGGATGCCATTATCATGGATGGAAAAAATCTAGCCTCAGGAGCGGTATCTGCTGTTAAATGTATCGCTAACCCCATAAAGCTTGCTCGTCTTGTCATGGAAAAGGTATGCTGAAAGTTCACTTGAATAAGAAGTCCCTTAGGACTTCATCCCATGTACCTCACTGATTATGGTGTTTGTGTAGTATTTTAAATTGGAATGGAGAAAGAAATCAGTAGTAGTGTTGGAGACTGGGCATGAGTGTTAAGTTTGGGGTTTGTTTTGTTTTGTTTTGTTTTTAAAGGTTTTTCCATTTTTTTTGATGTGCTGATATTTATGCAGAATTTTAAAAGGTTCTCCCAAACCGATATTTTTCTTAGCCTGTACTTTTCAGTTTTCCTTTAGCTAATACTTAAGTTTTGACTATTAACAACATTTGCAAATACTGTTTCTCTCGGATCTCCTGCTTGTCTCTGCAGGAAAAAGTTTGGACAACATAGTGGAGAAAGCATTGTAGGAGACAACCCTAAAGTTGAATAGTGACTGTATTACATGGTTTAATGGATTGTCCTAGATTGCCTTTTTCACTTCTAATTTAAGAATTTCTGACATAAGTAGATGATTGTCTTGGAAGGGCCAGCACCATGATTTTGTACTTCATGACAGTGAGAATTTAGAAATAACATACAACTGCTACAAGTCAGTCTTCTCTCCATTAACATGTCCCTTCTGTGCATTTACATCAGTAATTTTTCTCGGTTTTTTTAGCAACGATATGGCCACTGTTGGGCAAGTTTTAGTGTGTAGTGTGCCATTGTACACAATTAGAGTTAAATAATACAATGAATGAAGGAGCTTGCATCCTGTCTAAACTGTAGCTTACACTGTTGATAATACATGGGGCACGTGACTTCCGAGGAGAGGCTGAGGGAACTCAGCTTTTTTAGTCTAGAGAAGACAAGACTGAGAGGGGATTTAATAGCAGCCTTCAACTACCTCAAGGGTGGTTTCAAAGAGGATGCAGATGGACTGTTCTTAGTGGTGGCAAATAACAAGAAGCATGATCTCAAGTTGCAGCCAGGGAAGTTTAGGTTAGATATTGGGGGAAAAACTTTCTCACTAGGAGGGTAGTAAAGCACTGGAACAAGTTATCCAGACAGGTTGTGGGATCTCCATTTTTGGAGATTTTTAAGACATGGCTAGACAAAGACTTGGCTGGGATGATCTACTTAGGGATGGTCCTGCTTTGAGCAGATGGTTGGACTAGATAACTTCCTAAGGTCCCTTTCGACCCCGATTTTTCTGATTCTATAATACTACTGAAGCTCTACAGTGGCTGAAAAGTAGTAAAAATTTGCTCACCTAGATAAATGGATATATTTTTTCATGCTAATATAAAATTTTAACTGCTTTAAAGGTGACATAAGCGAGAGAGAAAATGTTTCTTTGTGTTTATACTTCACAAAAAATGCTTTTATTTATGGAATTTATGTTTTTAAACCATAGATGGTCAAGAAACTTGTCTGGAAAGGGTTTTTGGAAATATAGAGAAGTGGAGGTCTAAAGACATGAGAACTCCCACTCCAGTTCTCAGTAGAAAGATAGGTGTTAGGAATCTCCACAAAGCTGTGCTCTGAAATCTGTGTTTTATCATCATCATCATCATCATCAATTTCATTCACTCAGAAAACAAGTCTTACAATTTTGGATTGAGAATCCTTTGCTTGGTCATTTACTCAAGGTTCATTCTTATTTTTATTTTTATTTATTTACTTTTTTTTATAATGCAACAAATGCTCCTAATAGCCCTGGCAAAAGTAGGGTAGACAAGATGAAACACTTTAACATTTTAACTGTAACAACATGCAGAAATGTGCTCTTTCATTTCTTGGTGAAATCTGTTCCTCTGTGTCCAGTTTTCTCTTAACCAAGCTTCACATGGAAAACTTTGGGTACATGGCAGAGCTGTGCCTTGCATTCTCAACCTCTCACCCTCTGCTGGTCACTGTTCCAATTTGAGCAGAAGACTAACTGTTGCCATTTTTCTAAGCAGAAATTTTGGGCCATGAGCACATTTCTATACCTTGCAGACCTCATCTCTGTGGTACAAAGATGATTCAGAGGCCACTAGAATGGCTGCTCTGTTCACAATACCTATCCTACACAGCTTCACTAAACAGAGCACCTTAGTGGGATAGCAGCTCACCAAGGTGAATTTTACTCATCTAACTTTGACCTAATCTACCTACTCTGACATCACACACACTGTTTTAATTGGACTCTGTTTATAGAAGATAAGAATTTTAGCTGCTTTTTCCAAAGGAGTCTGATATTATTTATGTATATACATTTTTTCTTTGTATGAACTAGGATTTGTCTTGAAAACCATAGGAAATGAAGGGGGGGGGGGGGAGCAGGACTTTCAAAGGGATTTCAATAGAAGTTGGGTGCCTAAATCTATTAAATTTAAGAAATGCAGCCTTAATAATAAAATGGCAGCTTGTGATTATCTCTGTTTCATTTCTGTTTTTGGGCTCCATCTGCTGGCCAGAACTACACTTTTGGGTCCTTACAGTACATATGGGTATCAGTTTACTGTCTTTTGGGCTAAACTTTGCCAAGTGCCACAGTGGTTTCCACATTTTGGATGAAAATAAGAGTACCAGAATAACTCACTTATGGCTTACTGGAAGGCAGCTTAAGTCTCTAGAGGTGAAGGCCTTAGTACATTAATGTACTGAGCCAAGAAGTCCTTTAGAAAGCAGTTCCTGTTAAATTATTTCTATTTGTAATGGACAGAAATAGAACACTGATGTATGGCTGGTTCTTGTGTGTGGTGGGGCAAGTAAATGGTAAATATCTCCTAGGCTCTCAAAGCAGAGGGAAGAAAAAAAAAATTCAGACAGGCAAAGATCCAGTGAAGGCTGGACATGCATATAAATTCCAATGCCTGAATTATTCTGTTCCCTAAATTAGCTAAAATTAAGAAGTCTATTTAGAAGGTAGACATGATAATTTTCGGTTATTTTTGTATAGTGTATGTGTGAACTCCACTGGGTCAGGGAATACCCAATGTTATTATTATTTTATTTTAATATCCAGCAGTGTTTCATCAATATGTTACCTGCTGTTGGATATCAATACATAATTAGTCTATTACCAAGGTGCTACATATTGAAGAAAAAAGAGAACCTGTCATGTAGTCCTAGTAAAAACTAGCTCAAAGGAATGAGCCATTGTGGTGATTTCACATGATGGCAAAGTTTCTTGGTTTCAGAATGTAGTATAAGGACATAAAGGCATCACCCGAATAGTGTGTACTAAGAAAACCTGATGGGGGAGGGAGAGCTGTTGTGTATAACAAGTTTTCTAAGCATGAAATAATTCTTCAGTTTGAGTGTCTTAAGGTGACCTTGGGCATTCCGGTAAAGTTGACTTGAGAGAATTTCTGTTCACTTTTTAAATAAATAAAACGAAGAGGTTTTTGTTGCTTTTCTTATACTAACTGAAAGATGGAGTTGATGTAATGGAGTGGGCTTCTTAAATACACAAATACAAAGACAAACGGGTCTGCCTTCCTCCTATAACTCTGAGGTGTTGGATTGCAGCTGGCTGGTGGTTTAATAATGAAGGCAGAGTGGGGCAGTATTGCCTAAAGAAACCTTTCTTCCAAATGCAAGAACACTTTGTCTTTGTTAGAATACACTGGCTTTATTCTTCTCCTTCCCTACAAATGTTAAAATGCTCCCAGCATAGATATGTAATATTTTGTTTGGTAACATCATTTAATATAATTGGTAATATATCAGATTTGTCCATGGTTTCAGAGACCCAGCCCCTTCTTGGTCTCATTCTGACCTGTTGTGGTCTTCCTGAGTTCTTTGCAACAGAAGAATCGCTTTATTAGCTTTCACTCATTTTTTGACCATGGAAAAATAAAAGCTGGCGTCTTACAAGGGATGTCTTGGGTTTAGAACAACTGGTTCCGAACAACTATTTTAAGAATTTAGACATTTTTAGAAGAGAAGAAAAAACACCTTTTTTCTTTTTTCTTTTTCTTTTTTTAAAATTTAAACAAGTCTTTAACCTGCTAGAAAATTGCAGAGCTTGTAGCAAAACAGAGTGACTCCATGCTATACTGAGCAAATATATGAATTGGGAAAGTTGGAGGAGGGAAAAGGGTTTTAAACTCTTCATTTAGACCCTGGCATATCAGATATTTAAACATGTACTTAATTCTAAGACTGTTTTAGCCATGTTGACTTCAATATCATTAAAAGCTATGTTTAAGTGGATTAGGAAGTGGAAGCCCTAACTTAGTCAGGAACAGTACTTGGACCTTCACCAAATGCAAATATTATGGGAAGAAAATTTGAGTTAATTATCAAATTAATAGTATATGCATATCTATGAGGAGGACCTGGGCCAAGGTTGACCAGCAAATATTTGTGAGCATCATCTGAATGCAGTATTACATTTGGAAGTATAATTGCAATCTTTACAAGCTGTAACCAGACTTGGATGGAGGAAAAAATATCTGCAGTTAAGCAGTTTTAAAATTCCTTCAGTGACCTGTTCGAATCAATGTTTAGATAAACTAAGTGTTGTTGGTTGATTGGAAGAGTGCTAAAAAATTATATCTAGAATCACATTAGCAGCACTGTGTGTGTATAAATCTTACCTATTTCAGCAAGAATTAATGTCTTGTCCCTTTTCTCTTGTAATAAGTATTGCATAATAGAGAGTATTATTCTGTTAATTAAATTGTTGGTGTCTGCTTAATGGAATTCGTAGTTCAACCAGAAAAAACATAGGCAAAGAAGTTCAAGCTTTCTCCTACTTAATGGAAACAGGATTAAGATCTTACTCATGCTTTATTTTCCTATTTAGCAGGATGTTAAAAACGGAACTTCCTTTGTGTAAATGAGATGTTTACATAAAACTGTACACAGTAAGTCAAGGCACAATCACATTTATTTTCTGGCCCCATCAGACCGAGCACATGTTGCTGACTGATTACGGAGCACAATGTTTTGCCAAGGCCATGGGTGTTCCTGAGATTCCAGGGGAGAAACTCATAACAGAAAGGTCCAGGGAAAGATGGATGAAGAACCTTGAGCCAGATTCTAATCCTCATAAGTTTCAAACGTAAGTACTCACAGTGCTAATTTTCTAAGATTTGTGTAGTTTCAGTATCAAAAAGAAATGTTCCATGTGTAAGTGTTTCTCTAATGCTTCTCCAAAACCACTCACTTACACATGAATTTTTAGATGGTTGGATGAAACCAGTATCTGGTCTGAATCTAGCTTTCCCCCTCCACCTACAGACGTGGGTCACCTCCTCAGTCCTGGAAGTTCTTTAAGCTTAGGCTTGGTTATCTCTCAAGACCCATTTTTAAAACCTTCAGCTTCAGTTTTTTTGTAAGTTTTGCTGTTCTAAGATCTTCTGGGGAGAAAGCATTAGTACTCTACAAATATCCTCATTTAAAGTCTCTACTTAAAAAAAGAAAAAGGAACTAACTCATCTATCATTTGGACTCTGCGATGGTCTGCAACCAGAATGTTGGCACTGCAGTGCCTTACTAAGTAGATGGTGGTGGTGCTAAGTGTGCCTATATCTGCTGCTGTAGTAGCACTGCCTTCAGTACTGATAACATCAATATAGCTGCAATTTAAATTGGGTACTTCACTGCTGGTCATGTCAGTACCTTTTAACTCTCACATTCTCTAGTCCAGGACTAATGCTAATTTTATTGTGTTGTTAATTTATTGTTACTACATGGTGCTTGGAAGGTTTCTAGATTTCTATGAAGCCTGGAATCCCTCTTGATTGAGATTTCATTTCCATTTATTGGTTCCAGTTGTTATCTTTATAATAACTTCAACTTCTGTAATTCAGCATAATTTTTTTTTTCTTTAGACTAATAGTGTTCAGGGATTCATGATGAAGCTATAGTTTCCTGTGTTGGGTCTCAGACATTTTCAAGACTTACCAGAATTTACTGAAGTGGGCTGAAGTTCACATTAAAAAGACTCAGGAGCTTTTTCATAAGCTAGGTGGGTATTTTCCCCAGTAGTGTGTCAAAATATGTAGCATTTCCAGGCAAAAAGATCTTAATGAACCTTGCCAAACTTTATAGTGGACTCCTACCTCTTTCTCAACTTAAAAAAAATATAATAATTCTTGTCATTTTTAAAAGTGCATTAGATTTTGACACATACCTAATTCCAGGCTAATTATCAACATTAAAATGACATAAAAATAAAAATGACTGGATTTATTTGGCTGTACATTATTTTTTGGTTACTCAATTCAGCATATGAAATTACCATTTTTTATTGTTATTTGTTGTCTTAAACAAAAACAAATGTACTTACCCTGGAAAAAATTGTCTGTAATAGAGAGGATGTTAAACTATCAATTTCAGGACAGCTAATTGTGAGGATGTTACTTCTAGCAGCTCTGAAAGCAGTAGATTCAGCATCCTGTTCTATGGGAACTTCAATGATAAAGGTGCATCAAACAGCTAGCATTTAAAGGTTCCAGTCTGTAAGTGCCTAACTAATTAAGTCCCTTAATTTCCCAAAGGTCTTCACCACAAACCAGCGATGGCGCTTCCTATCAACAGAGCTCTTTTGAGCCATCTAAAAACCTTGCAAAAAAAGAACATCTGCCTCTGCATACCTACACTTCACTTGCTACACAGCTCCTAAACATTGATTTTTCAGGAATAGACATAGTTGGATAGTCCATCATATTCCACCCAGTTTCTGTTTCCTTACCCAGCCATTCTCCCATCTCTCAAAAAACTTACTGCATTGAGTTTCTCTTCTGCCTCTTTGAGTAAGAGAAGGGGTCCTTCTTTAGTTTCAAGCCAGTGTATCCTACTTCAGTACTTCTTAATAACAAGGTTGCTTGCAGATATTGAAAAAAAAAACACAACAAAAAACCTGTCCTTTGTTTTGCTTTAAACTCAGTGTGCTCCTGTGCCAAGTCCAGCACATGCCCAGAAGAGGTAGTGTGTTAATTGGACCCGACTCGCCCAATGTCTGTATAGGTCGGGTGCTTTACTGGGGCTTTTTTTGGTGTTTTTATCTAATAGCTGATTGAATCAGCTATTAAATATAAGTGCCAAAAAGCCCTGCTGAAGCACCCAATCTGTACAGGTGCTGCGGAGCCCAATCAAACTAACGCAGTGCTGCTCCAGTAAAGCACATTTTATTTTAACGTCTGTAAGCAGCCAAAGAAGAATGGAACTTCTCATTCTGGGTCTGAAAAACTTTAGCATTCCTTTGACATTTCAAATTTAGTATGGTCACCTAGCATCCATACTCCTAAATCTAGCTCAGCATGATTGGTTTGCAACTCTTGATTTACAAGGTTCATACTTCCATAGCACTATATATCTAAAGAACGGAAAGTATTTATGCTTTCAATAGAATTAAATAATTTCCAATGAAAGATCTTCTCTGTAACAGTAAAGGCTCTTACAAAGATTCTTGTGGATTCCGTATGATGGCTGACCTTTTTATTCAGCCGCATTTCAAGTTCTTACTGTGTTGTGAGGGATTTTTTTGAGTCTGCTGAAACACGTGCGCTCGAATCATACACAATGCATGTAAGGTTGGTTTAAGTATATCTCAGGCAGACATCTGGACATGGCCTCTGAGATTCTTGTATGGCCTCACTAGAGCTTTAGTCACTGAGAGGGCTTCACTTCAGGGAAGCTTACCATGATTAATCTGGTAGTAATGTGAGATTCAGTTTTCTACTATATTTAACTATGAGGCCTCTCTCTTTTCATAGGAATTGCATCCCTCAGAACTTGGAGAGGTACTTTGTCCTACAGAATTTCCCAGATTTAGTGTGTTGTTCAAACCACATCTTAAATTCTTACCCAAAGTAATTGATTCTTTTTATTCCATATTTGTTTCTCAGACTTCATCCTAATGAGGGTTGAAATTAAACTGTGCAAATGCCCATAGAGCCTCAGGTGATGTATACAACTCAAGGATTGCAGTTTTTGCTGTCTTTAAACTGGGTAGCTTGGGTGCTGCTGGAAGGGTATCTGCACTTGCACAGAACTTAGCATGAGCTGCAGAACCTGGTCAAGTCTGCAGTCAATACTTCAGTGATTAATCCACACTGATTAATCCATGCTACTGCAGCTCCTATTTCTAGCAGTATCCAAGTTAGGGAACGTATAGCGTAGGTCTGTCTGCTTCACTGCTTTCGCTGCAATGCAGGTATACTACTAAACTTCCATATAGAAAAAACTACACACTAGGGTTTTCTAGAAAAATGTTGTTTTTGTATCACTTACTGCAAGAACAGTCAGCACAAACCTAGAGGTTCAACAGGTGAGTTTCAGGTTGCATTATGACTTTTTACGACTTTGCTACCTGGTATTCCCCTGTTCAGATTAGGGCTTATTTGGCAGGGCCTGGGTATCTTCCTTGAAGTATTTCTGTTCTAGATCTGTGCAAAGTAGTTACTTAGTTGTATTTGTATGTATTTTCATGAATTTCTACCCCGTTATGGAAGCGTTTAGATCACTTGCTGCTTATGGCAATGCTATATGAAAATCCCTCTGTATCAAGACTTTCACTACCCACCTTTTTGGTTTAGGTTGCTACTTTTGAATGGCCAACACTGGAATATATTTAGTCAGAAATGTAATTTATGGACAAACGCTCAAGGATAAGTTACTTGCCTATACTGTATCTGGAGTTACTGGAGATGCAATTTGTACATACACTGCAAAATCTGCCCTCCATCCTTGCTATTTCAGAGTCGTAAAACATCCAGATTCAGCAGTGAAGGAACAAAGTGAGTGTGGGTGGCTGTGACCTTCTGTGTAAAAGCATAAGTCTAGTTGAGGTTCATGTGTAGTTCCAGTCAACACTGCTATTCATAATGTGCGGGCCGGTCACGAGCCGGGCCCTTTTTCGTGCTGCACGTGAGCTGTGGCCAGCAGCCCAGGCACGCGGGGTCGGAGAGAGGGCGCGACAAGCTAGAATTAGGCACAGACTCGTAGCAGTAGATTTAAAGATTGTTTACTTACACCGATGGTCACGGTGCAGGCTGGAAAACTTGCTTGAGTTGCGGTTACAGACAGGAAAGAAGAGAGGCGGACAAGAGTTCTAAACTCGTGAACTCTAGCCCAATCCGGCTGAAGGCTCTAAACACGCGAGCCCGTCGTGTCAACCGAAGAAAGTACTCGTACAGAAGAGCTCTGAATAGACTCACACGAAGTTCGCTAGGCTCCGTGGAACTTGTGCTCTGAGGTAGTCCGGTCGTCTGAACAACTATGTCAGTTGTTCCAGCTGGACTCGCATGAAGTTTGCTAGGCTCCGTGGGTCCGGTTCTTTTGCGCGCAGGAAGGGATACGTCTAGGAATCTATCGGCGACGGGGAGAGGCCAGAGGCTGATCAGACCTCTGTTGTCTGCTTGAAATGCGCTGGGTCCGTAAGGATCCGCAGCGCTTAGAGATCTTCACACAGCGTGAAGTCTCCTCCTCCCTTGTTCGTGGAGTCCTCCAACTTGGGCGGAAACCACTCAAGCCTTTTATACGGCTAGCAAGCCAATCACTAGCTGCCACGTGTGAATAATTTAGAACTGGCCAATAATGGGACTCGAATTAGCATACAAATGGCGGGAACTCTTTGCAATGAGCATTTCTGTGCTGCAACAAAGAAATGCACCCTGCAAAGAAAGCTTCAAATTGGCGGGAAATTCTCCCTTGCACCGGGGTTCTCTTTTGCAGCAGAAAACTCCACCGTGCAAAGAAGCTGTAATTTAGCGGAAACAATTTAGCAGTGCCGAAGCACACAAAACAAAAATCACACCCTTTGGGTTATGACACATAAAACATAGGGTCTAAACACAACAGGATTGAAATGTATATTGACTACACAAATTAAAGAACCCCAGTTACTGTATAGCTAAGTAATGTGCCTTTGTTGCGTTTAACTAATAGGGGACAGGGAGATAGTGCAGAGCATTTTAGGACCGTGGCTAAAAAAAATGCTAAGTAGGTTGACTTCTATTTGATGGGGAACAATTTGGGGGGGTTGAGTGCAAGCATATGTTGATGTAAATAGTTTCATAAGTGGAATACCTATATGTCTTTACTCCAGAGGCATGTGGTAGTGTAGGTCTTACAGCAGTCCACAGAGACTACTCTCTGATTGGTTCTCCATGACTCTGTTTTGTCTTATTGGGTGAGTGTTGTCCCCAAGTTAATACTGTGATTTTGTAAAAACAAAAAAGTGTGGGGAGGATGACTGAATTGTGCC